CCGCTCCTGGGCATGATTTTGAATGCCCGGAGCTAACTGAAGGCACTTCGTGTTCTTCAAGTTTCCAGAACTCCATTCCAAGGCATGATTTTCCATGCGTGGAGCCAACTGTAAGCCATTCCGTGGTCTTCGAGTTCCCAGAACTCCATTCCTGGGCATGATTTCCAATGCCCGGAGCCAACTGTAGGCCACTTCGTGGTCTTCGAGTTCCCAGAACTGCATTGTTGGGCATGGTTTTGAATGCCCGGAGCAAACTGTAGGCCACTTCGTGGTCTTCGAGTTCCCAGAACTCCATTCTTGGGCATGATTTTCAATGCCCGGAGCCAACCGTAGGCCACTTCGTGGTCTTCGAGTTCCCAGGACTGCATTGTTGGGCATGGTTTTGAATGCCCGGAGCCAACTGTAGGCCATTTCGGGTTCTTCGAGTTCCCAGAACTTCATTCCCGGGCCGCATTTTGAATGCTGAGGCAGGCTGATGCTGAGATTGAGGCAGGCTGAGGCTGAGGCAGGCTGAGGCTGAGGCTGAGGCAGGCTGAGGCTGAGGCTGATGCAGGCGGAGGCTGAGGCAGGCTGAGGCTGAGGCTGAGGCTAAGGCAGGCTGAGGCTGAGGCTGAGGCAGGCTGAGGCTGAGGCTGAGGCAGGCTGAGGCTGAGGCTGAAGCAGGCTGAGGCTGAGGCTGAGGCAGGCTGAGGCTGAGGCTGAGGCAGGCTGAGGCTGAGGCAGGCTGAGGCTGAGGCTGAGGCTGATGCAGGCTGAGGCTGAGGCAGGCTGAGGCTGAGGCCGAGGCTGAAGGCAGCGAGGCTGAGGCTGAAGCAGGCTGAGGCTGAGGCTGAGGCTGAGGCTGAGGCTGAGGCTGAGGCTGAGGCTGAGGCGCTGAGGCTGAGGCAGGCTGAGGCTGAGGCTGGGGCTGATGCAGGCTGAGGCTGAGGCAGCCTGAGGCTGGGGCCGGCTGAAGGCAGGACTGAGGCTGAGGCTGAGGCTGAGGAGGCTGCAGGCTGAGGCTGAGGCTGAGGCAGGCTGAGGCTGAGGCAGGCTGAGGCTGAGGCTGAGGCTCATGCAGGCTGAGGCTGAGGCAGGCGGAGGCTGAGGCCGAGGCTGAAGGCATATTGATGCTGAGGCTGAAGCAGGCTGAGGCTGAGGCAGGCTGAGGCTGAGGCTGAGGCTGAGGCAGGCTGAGGCTGAGGCTGAGGCTGAAGGCAGACTGAGGTTGAGGTGAATCAGGCTGAGGCTGAGGCTGAGGCAGGCTGAGGCTGAGGCTGGCTGAGGCCGAGGCTGAGGCAGGCTGAGGCTGAGGCTGTGACTGCGACTGCCGTTGCCATTGTGACTGTCATCGCGAATGCGACTACGACTGCGAGAACAGCAGAATTCTACAATAGGGTTCTCATCTGAATCATAAGGGGAATGCTTCCAGATATGCTCCTACACATCGCTGTTAGGTTGCTTTGCCAGGATGATGTTTCGGCGACTCCGCCGACGGCTTCCTTCGTCTGCGCCCGTCCTCGTCAATCTTCAATGCCTCAGCAACGGGGCAGAGTTGCTGGCGAATGCCCCCGCAGAGCCGAAGGCTGCGCGCGGGGCCACGCGCCGCGGGGGCCCCACTGGAGGCCTTGCGAAGGCAGCCAAACACGATGCCGAGACCTCCCCAGAGATCAAGCAGGCCGAGGCCCGATCCTCGAGGTCGGAACCGCATTGGTATTCTCTGCGCCGTTGGCGCAAGGATAACGCGCGGCGCCCTGTCCTGCAACTGCTCCCCATCACACTGCCTCCCCTCCTCCACTAAACCTCCTTCCTGGCCAATCGCCCGCCGCGTATGTTGTGTCCCCCCTGGCTTTGTTTCTGCAAGTGAGCTCGGCACAGCGATCGCTGAGCACTTCAAGCTTCACCAGGAAGCGTGCCAGCTAGACCCAAACCGAAAGCGCACGTGACTTTGCATTTGCCTCGCCAGTTAGCCCATCACACATGCTCTTTGTCAACTTTCCTCCGCGGGGAAGCACCGGCTTTTTGGAGCGGTTCGCCACCGACAGGTCGACTTTGAAATCGTTCGGTCGAGGTCTCATGGAGGAGAGAGACCACAGTCTAGCAACTGTTCGATCTTCAGGCCTCTTTAAGTAAGGGCTTCCTTATCGAGCCGACGCAGCCCAAGCCCGCGCTAGCTCGAACGCTTCAGGAATTTGGTTTCGTTTCGGCCTCCAGTAAAGTCCTCGCGTTGATGGGGGGCTTATATTTCTTACGCGGGGGTGCGGATGCATGACGCTGTCAGTTTTGCGACGGAGTCTGGTGGCACTAGTTTTGGGCAGAGTGATGTTTCATGTCGCCGTTGATGACATCAATGTTTCAGCGATCGCGTGCTGGCCGGCAGTAGATTCTAATCCCCGCGTGGTCAAATGCATCGTCAAAGAGGATGCCCCCCCCATGTTTAAACTGAGTCCGAGTATTTGTGAATCTTGTAAGTTCCATGTTGCGGGGCCTGGCGCTGTGGCTTCAGTGTTGGCCCCGACAACAGATCAAACTTGTGGGGTCATAGCATGTGCTCAGGGCTACGAGGATAGGAATTGGAGAAGCAAGTGGCGGGGGGGAAGGGAGTTCAAGCCTTGCTGTTGCCTGCTTCGTACGTGGATAGGGGGGCGCCAGTGTCGAAGTGGAGCAGTTGTGGGCCTTTGAAGAATAGCTAGAAGCTTTTTGTTCGGCTGATCCCGCCACGGCCCCAGAGTGTATTCCGAGGGCTGACGCCGCGTCCGCCGACGCACCAAATGCATATCCCCCATCCTCCTCCTCCGCCTCCCTCCCCTCCTCCGCTAACCTTCTTGGCGAACTTAGCTAACCTACATCGAGAACTTTGTTAACTTCATGGCTAACTGCTCCAAGCTGCTTAGGTCACTTACGCAACCTACATCAGAAGTGGTTAGATAACCACGTTGGACATCGAGTTTTGCAACCTCCAGGCTAACCACTTAGCAACTGGCCCAACCACATGCTAACTAACCCAAGCACTTGCTATGTCAGGTGGCCCGCCCAGTGCAGGATGGAGGGCGCGCTGCCGGTGTCCTCCGGCAGGGGGCCCCGGCCGCTTTCCAGATCGCGCGGGAAGACGCCGATGCCCTCGTGGACTTGGTCGCCCCTTCGCGGAAAAGGTGCCCGGTGACGGAGTTTGGCGCGATCATCAACTCGGGGGGGGGATCGCTGGCGCCGCCCCTGCGCCCCGCCCGACGCATGGATCGGGGGCCCGAGAGCCGCCCGGGGGCCCCGCGCCCCGCGCGCCGCACCCCCGCTCGAAGCCCCACCCCTCGCGGCGACCGCGCGCGAAGTGGAGAAGGGGGGGGGGGCGACGCCTCAGGCGGTCCTCCGGGGGGCGCCTCGCGCGAGCCCTCCGCGGCACCAGCCTCTGAGGAAGAGACCCATGGGCGATTTTGCAGGAGGTGCGCTCAGGAGACAGCCCGGCCCAGGTTGGTATGCATCTTGCCCAAAGCTCGCACCAACGCGACCCGCTGCTCTGGTTCCGATGTCGCCAAGATGCCACGGGATTCTCGTCGACGCCCTCGTCTTCCGGCTTTCGACTAGACGTAAGAGTGACCTTTCGCCGGAGTGACCTTAAGTGCGGGCACAGGTGGGCCCCCCAATGGCTGAAAACGAAGCATGAGCAGCGGCTTGCGCGCCCAGGTTTGGTCCCCCCGCGGCCCCCGAAAAGCCGCGCACCAAAGGTCACTCTTACCCAGGGTCACTCCTGCGTGTAACCGAGGCTTGCCCGTCGCGGCGAACAGAGCGTAGTTCACGTCCGAAGTGTTCCTCATGAGTCCCTTCACGACGGCGCGGTACATCGATGGCTTGAAGAGACCAGTCTGCCTGGAGGTCTTGCGGTTGAATTCGCGGCCGTCGATGTTTAAATGCTTCCTACGACACCTCTTCCCCAGGTACTTCTGTAGCGGCCAGTGGTTGGTCATTACCTTCCACGGCTCCTTGATTGAATTGCCCGTCCGCTCGTCCATGAGGCCGTGGGCGCACCCATCGAACGCGCGCTCGTTGGGCAGGAGCCGCCGCAGTTCCCGCGCCTCGTCCTCGTTCCAGCCGCGGGAGTGCACGGGCCACTCGAACGCGACCTTGTCGCCCTTCCAGACGCCAGACCAGCGAACATTTTGATCACGTGGTGGCTCTCAGCTCGGTTTCGGGCCACTTGGACCCCGCCCTTCATGAAGTTCTGGAGTCCAGACCAGGGTTCACAAGGGAGGCTGCCCCATTGGACCGCACCCTTCTGCAGATGATGCTTGACCCGTTGCACGTACTGTAGGTTCTTCAGGTCGAAGTCCAGGAGGCCGAACAGATGCGCTACGCCACCCAACTTCGCCCACTCCTTGTTGTTTAGTCCGTTTGCCTCACAGCAGTGCTCCAGTAGCGTCCCTGGCGCGCGCGGCCGCGCGCCCCTAATGGCCCGGGCCGCCGTCGAGACCAGGGTGTCGTTCAGCTGTGCGTCGAGCGCCTGCTTCACGAAAGCAGAAACGGATGTTGTGGTCATGTAGAGCATTTGCTGTCCGAATCCCTGCACGATGTTGGGTAGCCGTTCCTGTCCGGAGCCTCTTCCAATTCTGGCGCCACTGCGAAGGCCGCCCCAGAATATGTCTTCATGATGTTGTTGCCCACGCAGTGGTAGCACCTGCTGCGCTGTAAGCCTCTGAGACAGGACGCACAGGTGCTCATCGTGCCACAGATCTGGCACGCATAAAGAGTAGCAGCCTCCTTGCAGCACGTCGAGCCGGCACCAGTAGCCGTAGGCATCGCTGGAGCCACTGACTTGGTGCCACTCGCTGTCGTCATAGCCCATGCAGAGTTAGCAGGTTCCTGGCAGTGATTCTGTCCAGCAGAAACCTTTGGCGACACGATCCCCGAGAGGAGGTCCTGACCGTTCTTCTGTCCAGCAGAAATCCGTGACGACGCGATCCCCGAAGGGAGGTCCTGACAGTCCTTCCGTCCAGCAGAACGTGTGGCGACGCGATCTCAGAAGGGAGATCCTGACCCTCGAGCCGTCCTGCCGAAGTTGTCGCACACGGGTCTGCTTTGCCACTGCACATGGAGGCCGCGATGGTACATATCTTGAGCACGCACGAGCCCATTCTCCCAGCCGACCTCGGAGCCGGGCGCGCATTCTGGGCCAGCTTCGGTGGGAGCTCCTCCTTGCCTTCGTAGGCCTCCTTGAGAGCCGTGAACTTCTCTGGCTTGAGCTCCAGGGCAAAGTGCTTGTTCTCGCTGTCCAGCAGGAACTGTGACCCGGATCCCACGGAAAGACGCTTCCTTCCCACGTCGATGTCGGCGCCGATCGCCTCCAGGAAGTCGCGGCCCAGGAGCAAGAAGAGTGTGCTGCTCACTCTTGACCACGCAGGCCTGCACGTGCACTGGGGTTCCGGCCACCACAGCCGGGAACCTGAACGCCTCGCATGACATGAGCGTCCCACCGTCCCCGAGCCGGAACTTCTCGATCACCGTCTCGCACTCGACCAGCTCGTCAAGCCCGAGCTCCTTCAACACCTCCAGGTAGGCCTCTGTCCCACCAGACGTCGCCCATGACGGACATGACGCACGCCGTGTCGACCGCATTCCTGAGGTGATCCTTGACCATCCTGATCAACTGGCTCCTGAGGACCTCCTCCTCGATCCTGGGCAGAGGGATCCCGGCGGAGTGGACCGCGGGCGCCTCGCACGCCGAGTCCGAGTCTCCGTCGCTGGCCGCCGTGATCCAAGCACCACGTTCAGCTGGAGCCTTGTATTCGGGATCGCCCGCCCAGCGGCCAGTCTTGCCGCAGGCCTTGCAGGTCGACTTCTTCTTACGTTCCTTGAGCTTGTCAGCTAAGTCGCGGCCCTTGCCCGACTTGGCGCCACCGCCCGCAGGCTTTGGCGGGGGGGGGTCCCACGACCCTTGCCACGACCGTCCCGGCCCTTGCCACGCCCGCCCTTCCTGCTCAGCTTTTCGCGGGCGTCGCGGATGATCTCGACTGCCTCAGGGAGCTGCGACTCCTGGAGCGCCGCCTCTTCGAGAGCCGTGGTCTGCTCGGTCGGGAGATCGATCTGGGACTCCTCGATCTCCGCCGCCAGAGCTTCGAGCTCGTGCCTCACGAACCCCTGGACGTCGCTGACCTGATCCGCATTCACCTCGTTGGCCTCGTCGCATTCCTCGTCGTCGCCCTGGCCCTCCGCCTTTGGTTCTTCACGATTGTCGCGCTCCGTGACCAGGGCGTCCTTCGACGAGCTTCCTTGCTGTCCACCTCGGTGCTGCTGTCCACGGTAGCCACCTCGTCCCTGAGGAAACCTGGGGGGGGCAGCCTTCGGGGCTCGTTCACGTGCAGGTTGGGAAAGAGCCTGGCCACGATCTTCTTGACGTGGGTGAACCTGTACTTCTCGTCCCGGAGGGCCGCCACCACTTGTTCGTGCCTCTCAGCGTTCAGGGTGCACTTCTTCAGGAACCACCAGCCGAGGACATCGTCTTCATCTGCGAACTGCACGCCGACGTCCTCTAGCCGCTGGAGGCCCTCCTCGAACCTCGGGATGAAATCCGTGATCCTCTCGCCGCTCCTGCGGTTGTATCTTTGCGACTCGAAGAACTCACCCTTCGACTCTCCTCGTCGAACCGCCTGCTGTGGGTTGAAAGCCGCCTCGAGCGCCAACAGCACATTGTTGGTGCCGCGCACGTTGTCGGCGGCCTGCCTCTCTCTGGTGATGTTCCCATTCTCGTCCTGCTATTCTTCGATCGCCTGGGCCGCCTGCAGATCCTTTCGAGGAATGCAGAGCCCGACGCGCCTAGCGGTGCCCTTGAGTTTCGAGACGAGGAGGGCGGTCACACAGCAATTGACGTCGAGGCTGGTCCCCAACGCCCAGATCTTGACACCATCCCCGTAGCGTCTCCAGCCCTGCGGCGCACCGTGCCAGACCGGAATGAGGGAATAGCCGTCGCCGCCGCCCTGGAAAGCTCCGTCCGCCATCGTGTGGAAATTCCGGCAGGACTCGACCACCTGGAAGAGAAGACTCTGGCAGTACTCGACCACCTGGGAGAGAATGATGCTGAGGTTCAGCACGAACTCGATGATGCGGGCTGCGCTGCAGCCCTGGCCTGTGCGCCGCACAGAAGCGCCCGCCGCAGGCTGGATGCCGTGGATCGTCCCGGCTCCGCTACCACTGGCCGAGGCCGCGCAGCGGTAGGATGTCTCCCTTTGTCCAGCGCGCCGCGCCAGTCCAGGCCTCAACTGAGGCCAGCTCGCATCGTTCGCCTGGCACGGGCGGGACCGTAAATGGTCAAGGGCCTTGTGGGCCCAAACAGTGGTGGGAGCAGGCTGGGTGACAGGGCGGGCCAGCGGGGGAGGAAGGAAGGAGGTGGTAGGGATACTGGCGGGCCCCGACTCCCTCACCAACAGGCCACAAAGGGGCCAACACCTTAGTAAAACCAGTGATTTTGGCGTCCTCGCCGAGGCCGTTTTGGACTCCTTGACCGCTCGCGGAACCCCCCGTCCAGGTCCAGGGGAGGGGGTAGGGGGGAGGCGTAAACCCCTCCCCGAAGGGTAAGAAAGGGGGTGGAAGAGGAACCTCCTTCAACCACCTACGCCCAGAGGGCTGGTGGGATTGTTCGTGCATTCTTTGTTGGCGGTAGGCGGGATTCATTGCAAATCGACCGCCTCCCCCTTCCCCCCCAACCTCCTTATCACCCGAAGGGTGGTCCTATCGATAGTCAGATCTGTCGTCAGATCGATCGTGAGACGATTGTGAGATTGATAGTGAGATCTGTCGTGAGATCAAGAGTTTGATTGATGTAAGATCGATTGAATGAGACGTTGGTTCCCGTCCTCCGAGCCTCCATATCACCCCAAGGGTGCTCGTATAGGTATGCCTAGCCGTTGCCCTGGACCAGATGACGTACCTTGGCCTTTGACCCGCACAAACCAGAAGGCCTTTCGCAGCCTGCCAGCCCGTTTTTTGGGCTCACCAGGGTTTCAGTTAGGCATCGGTGTGCTTCGGGTTGTCCCCTCTTCTCCTTCCCTTCTTCTGTGTGCTTAGCAGTCAGGCGCAAGCGTGGTAGCAGCATGGCTGCCTATAGGTAATCGACGACAGAGGGGCAAAGCAAGATCTTTAACGCCTCACCGCGAACCAGAAAACGGTATTTTCTAGCACGCCACAAACAGCCCTGAAGGGCTTGAGAACTGCTGAACTGAAACTAGTTTCCCAGCTGGGGCCGACCTCGGATCGTGCGCCCCCGTGTCGAATTCGGCGGAGATGCGGATGCAATGTAGACTGGCCGTGTTTGTGCAAGTCGTGTGTGCTTCGTTCCGGCGGCAAGTGACGCCATGGTTCGCGTGTGCAAGGCTGCGCTTGGTTCTTCCCTCCCTCCTCGTCGACCTCCTCCTGAATCTGCTGCTGCTTCCGATCACCACCTCTCCGTGTGCTCATCTCCCTTGCGCTTGCTCCATCATCTCATCCTCCTCTGGCTGTTCCTCTTGTTCGTTCCTCCCCTCCCGCTCGAGCTGCTCTTTTCGCTCCCCGCCATCCCGTCCTCATTCTCCCTCCTCGCGCTGCCACCCCTCCCCCTCCTCGTCACACCCACCCCTCCCCACCACCTCTCGCACGAGGCGCCCTCCATCGGGGCGGACCTCTGTGCGGGTGGGACGCGCGCTCGATCGCGCGCCCGCTCGCTCCGGCATCTCGTCCGGCAGGTCCAGAAGCCGAGACCAGCATGGCGTGGCCGCACGCGCACGCCGCCACAGACGCGCCGGACGCGGCGCAGCCACGGCAGACGACGCTGCAGGACTTCCTGGAGCGCCGCCGCCAGGACTTCGGGGAGGGGCGAGGCTCTGTCAGCGGACGGAGAGCTGTACCAGTTGCAAGCTTCTCCCGCCATCGGAGGCGCCTGTCCCAGGCCGGCTGGAGAGCTTACACCTTTCCGGCGACGCGTCGGGGTACCAATTTTCCAGCCGCCTTGTGTCAGGTGCCCCCGATGGCGGAACAGGTTGCTTTATGCCGTCCCTTGTCCGTTACAGGATGGCGGGCTTCTGACGCTCGCCTTCGTCGGCAGACCCATGCACAGTCACGTTGGTCATCCGTTCTTGCTCCTCCTGCTGTCCCCTCTTGTCGTCTCGCCTCCCTCCTTGTCTGCCAACCCTGGTCTCCCGTTCCTGATTGTCGCACGTCGCTCTCTCCGCCTCGGTCCTCCTTCGAGTGCTGCAGAGCTGACTTGTCGTCGGGTGAGATCTATGGTCCAAACGGCCACGTGCCCTCAACTCGGGCCGTAAAGTCTTTCCGTGCAGGTCCGCCCACGAGTCCACGTGAGCTTATAAAGTGGCCTTCGCGGGACATAATGTCCATTATTCGTTCCCGTCGCGCACCTTCGAACCAGCAGCAGCAGTCGCATGGCCTGATAATTCGAGAGTGTTTTTGTATTGCTTGGGGCATGACGGGAGTCGTGTCTCTCGCCCCCCCCACCCCCCTATGACGTAACGCTCCCCCCCCAGTGCGCTCCGGGCACTGCCGCCGTGAGCATCGGGATCCGCATAGGTGTCCGCATAGGAATCCGCATGGGAGTCTGGTCCGCAGTCTTCGTCGTCGCCGTCGTTGTCGTCGTCGCTCGTCGCTCATCGTCGTCTTGCGCGCGGACGCGCCCAGAGCCGTTCTTTTATTTAATTCCGTGCCGACGATGGCAATCATCTGGGGAGGAAGGGGCCGATGACGTCACGTTTCGCGCCAGTGACGTCTGGGAATGCCAAGGAATGCCCGAGGACGGGTAGCAGCAGCATGTAGGTGGTGATCTGCACCACATCGCCTGTCTACACCACAGTGCCTGCGTGCACCACAGCGCTTGTGTACACCACACCGCCTATGTACACCACAGCAGCCGCGCGCAACACAGCGCCAGTGTGTGCCAAAGTGCCTGCGGGCACCACAGCGCTTGCGTACACCACAGCGCTTTTTTACACCACATCAGCCGTGTGCAACACAGCACCAGTGTGCACCACAATGCCTGCGTGCACTACAGTGCCTGTATACACCATGGCGCCTGTGTGCACCACAGCAGCCGTGTGCAACAGAGCACCACTGTTGCACATAGAATGTACGAGGGAATCCTTCTGACATAATGGAGCGCCGGTGGATTCTGTAGAACAGTTGTTTTTTATAGGATTTGGAATGGAATCGTTATGGAAAAAGGAACGCCGCTGGAATGTACGAGTCCTCCCGAGTCCGCCCCCACGCACAGACATCAACAGCCTCGGCCGCATCTTCGCGCAGGACATCGGCGACCCGCGCTTCCACGAGCACATTGCCATCGTGCGTTCGCACATGGCGCAGCGCGAGCACCGCCTCGCCGGAGTGCACATACGCTACATCCAACACGGCATGGCATTCAAAGAAGCACCACAGCGCAAACCGTCTCTTTTTATCTTTAAAACAACACGGGAATTCAAGCACCAACAGACCTATCCAGACGACGGCAGCAACAACGCGCGCCAACACGCGACAATTCACAGCAAAGCAGACCAAGACGACACAGACGAGCACACAGAGGGAGTTGTTTAACCACGACATCCACCACAAGCTCTTCCTCGTCGCCGACCACATCAGAACATCCGTGGCTGACCTCCTCTCCTCTCCCGCGTTCCTCCGCGCGGTGCCATTCAGCGAGTCCCGGTGCCGTTCTTTGGTATTGTATTTCTACTCTCCCCTTGCCGTACTACTCTCGGTCCTCGTCCGTCATCTTGCTGTCGTTTTCATCTTCCACTTGCCCCCCCTTCCTCTCTCGCGTTTAAAGGGGTCCATTGACCTAGCCGATCACGACCACTTGGCATCCCTTAACCCCCGGGGCCGCGCCTCACCGACCGTTGCGGACAGCAGTCGCCCTGGGAGCCCCTCGGGATTTTAGGGTCTCTGCCATCCTCTCCTTCGGTTGCCCGCGGCCCCTGCTCCCCCCGCCTCTGCCCCGTCGTTGCTGCCTGCTGCGGCGTTGCGACCTACTCTTGCTCCATCACGTGGTTAGCAGCCCAAGGATTGCACGTTGCAGCGCCAGTCTTACTGGCTTTTCGGCCAACTTTTTTTCGCGCGCCACGCCTGTTTCGCATGCTCTCGATCACTCAGGCGCCACAGCGCGCGCGCTCTGGCGGCTAACGCCACGCTTCCTTAGTTACTGGCAGCCTATTGGCTTACAACGCAGCGGATTGCCGATTTTAGGGGGGCCAGTGGATGGACGCGGGCCCGGCGGCAGCGGGCCTGCTGGGTGGGCGTGTGGTGGGGGGGTTCTGTGATGCGCGGTTTTACCCGATAGGGCATGCCGCGGGCCAGCATTCGATGCCATCTTACTTATACCAGCCTGCCTTCTCCGCCGCAGGCTTATCCCGCAGGTCGGCCACGCAATCACCAGCGTAAGTTTCAATTTCCTGTGTTGCGGCCTGTTGTTTCTTCCGCTCAGCATTTGCATGCATATGTTGCACCGTGCTTTTGTTGCACTCTAGCTTGTGCTGATGCCCGCGATGATAATCCCAGCGTTGCGCTCTTACTCCAAATCCATAAGAGTAGCAGCCCAAGGATTGCGCGTTGCATTACTGTTAGTTATTGCATACTCGGCCAACCGTTTTACGCGCGCCAGCCTAAGTTGCAACGAGGGTAGCAGCCCAAGCATTGCGCGTTGCAGCGCCGCTTCAAAGACATGTTTCACATGTTCCATCATTCGGGCGCCACCTTGCGCCACCTTATGCACACTTTGGTGACAAACGCAAGTTTCTTTGTATTGGTCGGCTATTGGTCAACAGTGCTGCGGCTGTCTGACACTAAGGGGACTTGTGGAGATGGAGGTTGGCCTATGGGGCGCGCGTGCGTGTGCGCGTGGGGGGGATTCGTTCAGTGCGTTCTTTTACCCAACAGGGCATGCCACAGGCCAGCATTCGGTGCCCGCCTATCCGCCAGCCTTCTCCACTGCAGGCAGAGCTCACAGCAGGCAATTCATGCAATACGCCAGCCAACCAACATAAATGCGTAGCCCTCTCACTCTCACACCGCCTCCTGTTGCACTGCCACGTCCTGCTTCGTCTTCCGCGCTAGCGTGCTCAACTCTTGCCTCATATTCATAAGGGTAGCAGCCAAAGGATTGCACGTTGCATTGTCATTCTGTCTTTCGTGCTCGGCCAACTATGTTGCACGCGCCAGCCTATGTTGCAGCAAGGCTAGCCGCCCAAGGATTGCACGTTGCAGCGCCACTCCATAGACATGTTGCACATACTGGATACTCCAAGCGCCACCTCATGCACGACATTTGGCGGCAAACGCCACGTTCTTGGTCATCAACACCGAGGCTATCTGACACTAAGAGGTGGGCCTATGGGGTGGAGGGGGGGATATTTGAGTACGTTGCTTTGCCTACTAGGCCAGCATTCGGTGCCTGCCGAGTTATATCAGCGAGCTCTCTCTTCTGCAGGCATTGCCCCCAGCAGGCCAGCCTTACCATAGGCCTGCCAACCAATATACCAGCGTTACTCTCCCACTCCTACTTCGCGTCCTGGTGCCAGCGTTACTCTCCCTGCTCATCCTTCGCGACCGTTTTGTTTTTTCCTTTCCGCACGTGCTTGCATCTGACATAGTGCGCTTCTCTTGCACTTTATATTTGAGACAACTAGTACCCATGAAACCAGGGCTGGGGTTTTTGTAACGTGATGTTCAGCGGAGGTTGTGAAGGAGGGGATCTCATACACTAAGGTACTTGCTCGACCTGTGTACCTGGCGGGCGCGCACTGACTGGTTTTTGGTTTGCCGCGCTTCTCCGTTTCCTGCCCGCTCCGCGGCGTGCGCCAGGTACTTTTGAGCCACGTCGGGCCATTTGTTTCGTTACCTTCGTTCAAAAACGCCACAATTCCAGGATTCAGATTTGGCCAACGGTACAAGGAGGAGGGGACTAGGATGGGGGTGCCGCCGAAAACCCAACCTCACGATCGCGGTGGTATTCTCACCATCAAGACCACGGTAGCATGTCCCGGCAATTCCACGGCACGGTAATAATCCAACGGCAAATTGCGGTGCATTACCACAGGACCACACCAGCGCATAAGAGTTACACGCCTGTGTTTCACGTTTGCATTATGGCACCGACTCAACATCCTTCATAGATCTGCTGACGCGCAGTGCAAGCCAGCTGGTCGCCGTCTCATGTTATACACGTCCAGGTCTGGCTTTCGCTGGCGCTACACCTGGTGCAATCTTTCAGTACACAGGCGCGTTACCTTGCAGTCTCCAAGTCGCGGCGAAAGGCCTGGTCACGGCCTGTGTGTCTGTTATACTTGTTTTTTCGTTGACCATCAGTGTCGTGTTCGTCGTCCATTCGGACTCGGTCTCGCACCCAAATGCTCGCTGACAAACGCCCGACACGTGCCAGGAAAATGATATACACATATAGGGGTCTCCCCGTCGAGTACTTCCGTGCCATCGCTACACGAGTTTGCCACCGTGCCAGCCTATCTCTTCGTGTGATGACACATGTATCCCCACCCAGAAGACCGTACACATTTGCACCTCTCATCTGTATCTCAGGCTATGGGCTCGACATGGGAAAGAGCGCGTTCTGTGGTCGCTTGGGCCCCCCCTCCCCTACTTCTCCTCTCTCCCTCTCCTCGGGCCGGCGCTGGCGTCGGCGGCGGCTGGCGGCGGCGGCGGGGGTGCTGGTGGTGGTGGTAGTGGTGTTGGTGGTGGTGGTGAGGTGGTTTGTGGTGGTGGTGGTGGTGGGTTGTGCTGCTGGTAGTAGTGGTGGTGGTTGTGGCGGTGGTGGTGGTGGTGTGGTAGGTTGTGGTGATGATGGTGGTGGTAGTGGTGGTGGGTTGTTGTATTGGTGGCGGTGGTGGTGGCGGCGAGCTGTTGTGGTGGTGGTGGTGGTGGCTGCGGTGGTGGTGGTTGTGTGGTTGTTTGGTGGTGGTGGTGGTGGTGGTCGGTTGAAGTGGTGATGGTGGTGGTCGTGGTGGTTGCGTTGGTGGTGGTGGTGGCGTGGTGGTTTGTGGTGGTGTTGGTGGTGGTGGTGGGCTGTGGTGTTGTTGGTGGTGGTGCTGCTCGTAGTGGTGCTGGTGGGTGGTGGTGGGTGGTGGGTGGTGGTGGTGGTTGTGGTGGTGGTGGTGGTGAGGTGGCTTGTGGTGGTGGTGGTGGTTGTGACGGTGGTGGTGATGGTGGTGGTAATGGCGTGGTGGTTTGTGGTGGTGGTGGTGGTTGTGGTGGGTTGTGGTGGGTTCTGGTGGTGCTGGTGGTGGTGGCGGCGTTTTTGGTGGTGGTGGTGGTGGTGGTGAGGTGGTTTGTGGTGATGGTGGTGGTTGTGGTGATGGTGGGTTGTGGTGGTTGTGGTGGTGGTTGTGGTGGTGGCGGTGGTGGTGGTGGTGGTGGTATGGTGGTCTGTGGTGGCGGTGGTGGTGGTGGTGATGGTGGTGGTGGTGTGGCCTTCGGCTCTTCCCGCCAATGTGTTTTGGCAAAGGGTCAGAGTTCTAATGGGTGCCTCTTGAGGTCTCGTCAGAAGGGTCTCGGGGGCGTCTGAGGAGCATGCGAGGGCTCGATATGGCGATTTGTGTGTTCCCTCTGCGGCCTCTGGGCCCTCTCTGGCCATCGTCGCTGCATCCTCGCCGTCGGCGCTGTTGGCCGCCGCCAGCGCCTCTCTGGCGCCAGCGCGGGGGTTTTGTTTGAACCCCCCCCCCTCCCGGGGCCCTCTTTGGTCATCGTCGCCAGCGGCGGCGGCCGCCAGCGCCGGCGCTGGCCGCGGGGGGGGGAGGTTTTGAAAGGGGTTTGGGAGGGGGGGGGGTAAGGGGGGGTTCGGGAGGAGATGGTTAGGGAGGGGGGGAGTTAGGGAGGAGGGGAGTCCCCCTAACTCCCCTTGGGAGGGGGGGGGGGCGGGAGGGGGGGGGTTAGGGGGGAGGGGAGGAGGAGGAGGAGGTGGAGGAGGCGGAGGAGGAGGAGGAGGAGCAAAAGGATGAGGAGGGGTGGAGGAGTAAAGGGAGGGACAGGAGGGGAAGAGGAGAGGTGCAGGAGAAGGAGAAGCCCCCCTCCCCCCCCTTCCTGGCCCCTCGTTGCCGGCCAGGGCCAGATGCCCAGCTCCTCTCCGAAGCCTCTGGCCTCAGCCGCCATGTCATAGAGCGCAAGCAACCTCTCCGGCGGGGTGATGGAAAAGGGCGTCAGCACGGTGGACGGCAAACGGCTCCAGTGCATCGTGACGGTGCGGGTCTGTGTGCTTGTCGAGGTTGGTTTGGCGTTATTGTTGGTGCCGACTGCCAGCGTCATCGGGGCGTGGCCTGGCACCCTGCCTTTCGAGCCGACAAAGCTCGCCGCCTTAAGCAGCAAGCCAAGATCCAGCGGTACGCGTCACACCGCGGCTGGCGGCAGCGGCAAAGAGGTGGCATTGCCCGTGGCACCAGAGGGCGGTTCTGCCGCCGTCGTTCCGTCAGGCGCGAGCGTCGGCAGTGGCGGCGCGGGCCTCTCCGTCGACCGTGCTGCTGGATTCAGCAAGCTGGATCCGGGGTCCCGTCGGCCTGCGGACTGGGCAGGGTGCACCAGTGGGGCCAGCTGCTGGTGGCCACCTGCCGACTGGAAGGCGGAGTCGGGCGGCACTATATGCGGCAAGGATAATTGGTGGGACTCGTATGCCGCGAGGCACAGGAAGATCATGGGCGATTTCCCCAGAGGAGGGAAGCTGAATTCGACGCAGGTTCTAATCTACTCGAGGGGCCTGCGCCACTCTGCCGACCCCCGAAGAGTGGATGTGTTGGCCGCAGTGACTGGTTCTGGCGAGGGTCCGAGGGCCGTAGATTTATGATGCGTGTTTTTCCCCATATCCTAAGGATTGGGGTTCTTGTTATTACTCTGACGCCTCCCACTCCTCCTCCTCCTTCTTCCTCCCGCTCGCGCCTCCCTCCTCCCAATGATAATCACCAGATAAGACAAGACAAGATAATATACGACACGATAAGATAAGATAGCACAAGATATGATAATGTAAGATAAGATATATGACAAGGTAGGATAATAGACAAGATAAGACAGCCTATGGAGTAATAAGATAAGACAAGATATGATGCGATAAGATGAGTTGATATAAGATAAGCTAAGACAATATAAGATATTTCAAGATAAGATAGAGGGTAATAAAGGTAAGATAAGATAGGACTCGATAAGATAAGATGAGACTCACTCTCACTCAGACTCACTCACAGTCACATTCACTCACACGCACACTCTCTCATGATCACAAAACGCTGCCAGGGGCATCATTTGGGAGCCCCAAGGGGGAGCCACCCTGGCTGATCTCACGAGCCCGTTCGCGCCGATTTTGGTGGGACGTCTCAGCTAGAATTGCCGTTTGGCCTCCCCAACATGTCTCTCTTGAGAGCCTCATGGTCACAAAACGCTGCCAGGGGCATCATTTGGGAGCCCCAAGGGGGAGCCACCCTGGCTGATCTCACGAGCCCGTTCGCGCCGATTTTGGTGGGACGTCTCAGCTAGAATTGCCGTTTGGCCTCCCCAACATGTATCTCTTGAGAGCCTCATGGTCGCAAAACGCTGCCAGGGGCATCATTTGGGAGCCCCAAGGGGGAGCCACCCTGGCTGATCTCACGAGCCCGTTCGCGCCGATTTTGGTGGGACGCCTCAGCTAGAATTGCCGTTTGGCCTCCCCAACATGTATCTCTTGAGAGCCTCATGGTCGCAAAACGCTGCCAGGGGCATCATTTGGGGGGGCCATAGTCACCAAACGGGGCAGCATTTTGGAGGGGTCGACCCGGGCCTCCTAGTCGCCAGACACTGCCAGGGGCACCATTGGGATTCAGACTCGCACCCAGACTCACTCATACACAAGCTCACTCACACTCAGATTCATTTCTTCAGAGTCAGGCACACACAGACGTACCCATACTCAGACTCACCCACACTCAGGCTCACCTAACCCAGACTCCG